CTGCTGGAAAATGAAGTCAGCATCCCCATAAAGCTCGTCTGCGGAAGGAAGCATGAAGTGCTCCAAAATCTCCTGGTAGACGGCCTGGACTTAATGAAGCACAGTGGACCAACACCAGCTGATGACATGGCTCCCCAAATCTCTTTTCTGAATGAGAGCAGCTTTTGCATCTCATTTGGAAACCAAGGTCTGGAGGAAGAATGGGGAGGCACACAATGCCAGATGCTTGAAGTCCAGTGTGAAGTTTCCACAGTCTGTGTTGATTTGGGGAGCCATGTGCAAGTATGTGCTGGGTTCCACAGCAGGCATTAAGGAGCTTAGCCCTTGACGTTTATCACAGCAAAGGTGAGGAGGTTAGAAATGCGAGGGTAAGGGTCAAGGGGATTTGGGAAGCCAGTCTAGCAGAGGGAGATGTCACGCTTCTCAGCACAGGAATGCACATTTAGAAATTTAGCACTGCATTTCTGAAGCACCAGGGTTGGTTAATGAATCACGGTGTTTTGCTGAAAGTTCAATATGCTTTGCATCACATTATCTCCACGACCCTTTATACTGGGGTAGGGAAACCTCAGGCTTGGGAGTCAAAATGGTCCAGACCCCTCTGTCTGGCCTTCAGCACACTCTGTTTAGGTCCCAGTGTAAAACAACATACAGTGGTACCTCTGGTTGCAAACGGGATCCGTTCCGGAGCCCTGTTCACAACATGAGCAGAACGCAACCTGCGACTACACATCTGCGCATGCGTGTGATGTCATTTTCAGCGTCTGTGCGTGCGCGAGCAGTGAAACCCGGAGGTAATCTTTTCCGGTACTTCTGGGTCACCGCGGGATGCAACCTGAAAACGCTCAACCTGAAGCAAACGCAACACAAGGTGTGACTGTACACCTGTCATATGCAGCATGAGGTGGGCAGGAAAAGGTAAGTACCTTGGTTCTCAAACTTAATCCGTTCCGGGACTCCTTTCGATTCCCGAAACCATTCAAAAACCAAGGCGCGGCTTCCAATTGGCTGCAGGAGCTTCCTGCACTCAATCGGAAGCCACATTGGACGTTCAGCTTCCAAAAAACGTTTGCAAACTGGAACACACACTTCCGGGTTTGCAGAGTCTGGGAGCCAATTTGTTCGGGAGCCAAGTCATTCGAGTACCAAATCATGCCTTGCAAATCAAGAATCAGGAGCCTCCAAGTGCACTTCTGGTCATATTGGGCGTTTTATATTGTATTTTTATCTTGTGAACCACCCTGAGATCTATGGATGAAGGGTGGTATACAAATTTAATTAATGGTGGTGGTGATGATGATGGAAACCCACCATGGATCCTTGCAGTGCACCCCTCATTATAATCAGTGCTTATTTTCTAAAAACATGTTTAGGGGTACAGTGGTACCTCGGGTTAAGTACTTAATTCATTTCGGAGGTCCGTACTTAACCTGAAACTGTTCTTAACCTGAAGCACCACTTTAGCTAATGGGGCCTCCTGCTGCCACTGCGCCACCGGAGTACGATTTCTGTTCTCATCCTGAAGCAAATTTCTTAACCTGAAGCACTATTTCTGGGTTAGCGGAGTCTGTAACCTGAAGCGTATGTAACCTGAGGTACCACTGTATATAAATCTAATGAAGAAGAAGGAGGAGGAGGAGGAGAAAAAGAAGAAGAAGAAGACACTTATGGATGTGCCAGTAAGCAGCAGGTGGGCTTGGCAGAATCAAGGCTGAAATTGGTGGGGCGGTGCTTCTGTTTGCCCTCATGAACCAGAGTTCACTAACACCTTTTATTTATTATCTCCCATCTGGCATGATTGTATACTCCATTCTCTGGAACCAACCAGTCTGAAGTGCTTTTGTCTGCTTAATAGGGTCAAGGCTGGACATGACACCTTTTCCAGACCAGACTTCAAAATGGTCTATATTGATTCTCTGTTGAGATGACCTAACCGGGTTGCTTCACAGAATGACCTTCAGATTACGCCAGTGCAAAGAGATTTCCCCCCTTATCTCCTCTCCACCTCCCAAGGGTGTTGCGATACCAGAGCCAGGAGCACAGATAACCTCCTGCTCAAATACGCCCGCATTTCCTTTTGCCGGCTCTGACACAGTGGGGCAGGCGGGGAAGGTAGCAATGGCAGTGGGGGGGGGGGAAGCTAAGAGGAGAGTTAACCTATGGAACTCCCTCCCACAGGAGGCAGTGATGGCCGACAAACTGGATGGCTTTAAAAGAGGATTAGACAAATTCTTTTTTTATATAATGTTTTTTATTAATTTTAACATATAAATTATAAAATGTACCACAAAACTTATCACTTATACAATCTTTTTAGACTTCCATCAGCACCTCTGATGATCCACCGTTTTAGCCACTTCTTTTGCATTTCTTAACTTTATATTGCCTTTCCATCTCTTAACAAATCATCCTGCCCCTTGTCCATTTTTACAATTCTTCTAATAATACTCCTCACAAAACTTCTTGCAGCCCTACAAACGTCGTCTGTTCTTCACAATTACTTTTCAAATAGTCCGTAAATTTACTCCAGTCTTCCATGAATTTCTGGTCCCGCCGGTTTCGAATCCTTCCTGTTAGTTTATCTAATTCTGCATAGTCCATTAACTTCATCCTCCATTCTTCAATCGTCGGTAACTCTTCTTGCTTCCATTTTTGGGCCAATAATATTCTTGCTGCTGTTATTGCATATAAAAAGAGCTTACATGAGGATTAGACAAATTCATGGAGGGGAGGGCTATCGATGGCTACCAGCCACCATGGCTATGCTCAGTCTCCACAGCTGAAGGCAGACATGCTTCTTAATAAAAGGTGCTGGAAGACACAGGAGGAAAGAGTGCTCTTGTGAATCCCACTTGCAGGTTTCCCACAGGGATTTCATTGGCCACTGTGAGAATAGGAGGCTCGACTAGATGGCAGGGGTGTAGCATGGAGGGCCCAGAGAGGCCGTGGCCCCAGGTGCAGTTTTTTGAGGGGACACAAAGCAGGCCCCCCACAAGCAGTGCCAGATTTACGTATAGGCTAAATAGGCTGAAGCCTAGGGCCTCTAAATCTAGGGGGCCTCGCCACCCCTCCTGCTCCCCAGCGGGCAGTCTCCCCTCTCCCAAAATTGCAAACCCAAGACTTCATGTGAGGGCAGGGCAACTCAGGCCCAGCAACTATTAGACTCAGGGCTGGCCAGTGGGGCCCAATTTGAAGCAGTGGGGTGCAACTTGAATTATTATTTCTTTTGGAGGGCCCCAGTTCACAGCCAAAGTCTGCAAAATCTTATAGATACAGTGGTACCTCTGGTTATGTACTTAATTCATTCCGAAGGTCCGTTCTTAACCTGAAACTGTTCTTAACCTGAAGCACCACTTTAGCTAATGGGGCCTCCCGCTGCAGCTGCACCGCCGCTGCGTGATTTCTGTTCTCATCCTGAAGCACAGTTCTTAACCTGAGGGAATATTTCTGGGTTAGCAGAGTCTGTAACCTGAAGTGTATGTAACCTGAGGTAAAAAGGTAAAGGTACCCCTGCCCCTACGGGCCAGTCTTGACAGACTCTAGGGTTGTGCGCCCATCTCACTCAAGAGGCCGGGGGCCAGCGCTGTCCGGAGACACTTCCGGGTCACGTGGCCAGCATGACAAAGCTGCTCTGGCGAGCCAGAGCCGCACACGGAACGCCGTTTACCTTCCCGCTGGTAAGCGGTCCCTATTTATCTACTTGCACCCGGGGGTGCTTTCGAACTGCTAGGTTGGCAGGCGCTGGGACCGAATGACGGGAGCGCACCCCGCCGCGGGGATTCGAACCGCCGACCTTTCGATCGGCGAGCCCTAGGCACTGAGGCTTTTACCCACAGCGCCACCCGCGTCCCTAACCTGAGGTACCACTGTATAAATATTTATAACCTGAGGTACCACTGTATAAATAAGATCCATCTAGATTGCCCTGGTGCAAGGACCCCCTTAGGAGCAGCCCGCGGAGCCCAATTTGGCCCAATTGCTCCAATTGCCTTAAGGTCAGCCCTGATGAGACTGTGCAGGGGTTAGATCTAGGTTGGATCTACGTATCAAGTCCAGTGTTCTGCTTGTGCAATGGCTAACAAGGTGTCCCAATGGGAAGCCCATGAGCAAGACTTGAGTACTGTCGGGCAGTGAGAGGCAGCACAGCTAGGCCAGGTCAGTGAGGGGCCCTTGTGGGAGCCTGAGGGCCTTGGCCAGAGCCCAACCTGGTCAGCTGCTGCTGGCAAACCTATATGAATGAAATAGCATTTATGAGTCACCTAAATTACAAGTCACCAATGTGGCGTAGTGGTTAGAGTGTGGGACTAAGACCTGGGAGAGAGCTGGTTTCAAATCCCCACTTGGTTAGGCAGCTCACTGGTGACCCTGGGCCAGTCGCTGCCTCTCAGGGCAACTCAGCCTCACAAGGTTTGCTGTTGGGATTAAATGAGGAGGGGGAGAGTGTAGGCCACCTTGAGCTCCTTGAAGAAAAAAGGTGGGTCACACACACACACAGAGTACATTTATTATTAGAAGACAAAACAGTCCCTTCTCACAGGCTCTCGATTCAGTAGACATGTTACAAAAGGAAAAGGGATCGCGGAGGGAAGAGGAAAGCAAACATCAGAGCAGCAGCTCCTTCACTGGTCCATAGATACAGCAAAGTGTTGCCAATCCTTCCGTATGAGGCAGGGGTGCAGTTTCCCAGGTGGCAGATGGCAGATGCCAGAGGCGAGTCTGCTTGGTTCCGGTCCTAAAGCTACGCATTCTAATCCAGATTCACGTGAAGCGCAGCAAACGTCAAGCGGGTCTGTTGCGCTACAGAAGGCTCGCGGTGGGCGTGGTTTCGCGGAGGGGCGAGTCTCCTTTAGCCAATAAGAAAGCTGCCCGGTGGGTAACCAGAAGCGGTTGGGCGCGGCACCGGAGGGCGGTGTCCCCCCACAAGCGTGCGCTCCAGCCAATGGAGGGGCGCGATGGGCGTGGCCAGAGGACGACGGAGCCTATTTAAACTCGCCGGGGCTCTGGCGCCGTCTTTTACAGCAGCCATGGCCGGGCGTTGCCGTACCTCCAAAGGCGCGCTATTGGCGCTGCGCGCAGCCCAGTCCTTCGCCTCGCGGAGCTGTCCGCGTTCTGCCACGGCCGCCGCTCCGGCGCCGGCACCTCCGGAGCAGCCTTTGGCTGACCCTGCCCAGCAGCTTCCAGCCTCATCCTCCGGAGCGCGCCACCAGCAGCCGCCGGCTCCGCTGCCTCCGCCCCCCGCGGTGGACTTCGCAGACGCGCAAGAGGCTTTCCGGAGCAAGAGCAGCGGCGAGCTGGCCCGGGGGCTCCTGGTGCTCGGCCTCTGCTCGCTCGAGCCGCTGGTGGAGCACGGCGACAAGGTGAGGAGGCGGCCGAGCGGGGGGCGCCGCGCAGGATACGCGCTCCGTTGCTTTCGCTTTCCTTTCTCTTACCAATTCCTTCCATCTCTTTATTATTCATTTCTTTCTCCGTTCTGTTTTCGTCAATTCCTTTCTTTTTCTTTCTTTCTTTCACCCTTTCCTTCCACTTTTGTTTCTCCTTTGTTTTCTTCCTTTCCTTCCATCCATCCTTCCTTCCTTCCTTCTTTCCGTAGGAGCCCTGAAGGGGCTGGGCAACCCCAAAGTTGGTGGGAGTTGCCATTTACCTAGTGTCCATGTGCCGCATCTTGTGATCGATTATATGGGGCAGGACTTACCTCTCCCCCCCCCCATATTTTATTCAAGTTGTCACCCCTTCTTCCTTATCCATCTTTCGTTCCCTTTCTCTCCTTCCCATTGCCGGCCACTCTCCTTGTGTGTGATGCCTCTCACACAAAGGCTGTTGCCATGAGAACCTGCTTGCCCTTTGATGCTCCATCAGGAATGGTAGGGCAGAGGGTAGGGAGACCGACAGTAGGTGGCGCCAGAGACAATGGCAGGTAGAGCCCCCCTCGGGCTCCTTGTAGGGTAAGTCAAAAGGAAGGTGGGGTGGCGGCAGCTGAGACTGGTGGGACAGCACCTGCATTTGCCCTACCAGAGCAGCCTCCAGTGGCAAGTGTGGTATAGTGGGAGTCCAGGATTCAATTCCCCACTTGGCTGTGAAGCTTAGGGTACTTGGCTGTGAAGCTTAGGGTATCGGCCTTCCCCTGTCAGCATAACCTACCTCACAGGGTTGTTAGGATAAAATGAGGCGGGGGAGAACCATGTTTGCCACCTTGAGCTCCTTGGAGAAAAAGGTGGGATACAAATGCAATAAGTCGTATCCCAAGTTGCCTTGTTAGAAGTGGGTAATGGGGAACAATAAAAACCCTGAATGTTGTAGGTTTATATTAAAATACATGTGTGTGTTCAAAGCATTTGCACCCTGTCTTGCAGTCACTGCCCCCACCCAACCCCATTGAGTGGCTTTGTTGTTGTTTAGTCGTGTCCGACTCTTCGTGACCCCATGGACCAGAGCACGCCAGGCACCTCTGTCCTCCACTACTTCCCACAGTTTGGTCAAACTCATGCTGGTAACCTCGAAAACACTATCCAACCATTGAGTGGCTTACAAAAGCATAAAAGCTGTGCAGCCCCTTTCCCTAGGGTTTACGGTGCAAAAAGTCATGACACAAAAAGAAAAGTGGATGAGGAGGACAGAGGAGTACATGCAGACAGGGGCAGCAAATTACTTGATTTCGCAATGTTATTTGGAAAAAAAAAGTCCTGAAAATGTATTTTTTTCTTCCTGAGCAGTTGTGAAGTAATGCTATCTGCTCTTCCCCTGACCCTATGGGCAAGAAAAAAAGCTACATGGCTTGCATGTCTCTGTTTTTGTGAAAATAAATGCTCGTGGAAGAAGCCAGCCCTGCTGTGGCTGCAGCCCCAATGACTCCTAGTACACCTTCGGAAGCTTAGCAGGGCCCTTTTTTAGAGCAAAGTTGCCTTTCTGCTTCCTCCTCCATTTTAACCCCTTGACTCTGCATCCTACAGCTGATGAGCTTCAGCCGGAAGCTGTTGGGCCAGTGGCTCTTTGAGAAGCTGATGAAACTGACCTTCTACGGGCAGTTTGTGGCCGGCGAGGACCAAGAGGCCATCAAGCCTCTCATCCGGCGCTACAGCGCCTGCGGCGTGGGCTCCGTGCTGGACTACAGTGTGGAAGAGGACCTGACCCCCGAGGAGGCCGAGAAGAAGGAACTGGAGTGAGTGAGAGGCTGCTTTGTGGCGGCTCAGCTGGAGGGGTGTTTGTGTGTGGCTGGGCTCAAGCCACTTACTATGTTGCAACGGGAGCTTCCTTCCTTGGGCGTGTTGCATTGCATGAGAAGGAAGTGTGAGAGGAAGGAGGCAGAGGGCAGGAACGCAGAGAGGTTTTGGCTTTGCATGAGAGAGATGTGTGTGTCCTTGGTTGGGGGGAAGATGTGGCTTATGTAATTTCCAAGTGTTGACTTGCTTGCAAGGGATAGGTCAGCTGCGTTGCTCTGTCACCTTTGCTGAAAGATAGGAGTGGTTTTGGCGGGTGGTTTCCCCAGCTGGAGGCAGCTGCAACGGGTTGAAACTAACCCCGCAGCAAGGAGGAGGACCGGTTTGGGGGGATGTTTAGCCGAAGACAGGCTGAGTGATGATGGAATCCAGGTGGTGTGCATGTTTGGGGCTGCCCAGGGGACAGTGCCGGAAGAGAGATCCACAAGACTACTATTTCAGCAATGTGCAACGGCCAAGTTCATACCTACCCCTTTCTTCCTGCTCCTTTTCCTGTGCGTTGTCTCTCTCGGCAAACTTATCTTCCTTGCAAACATATCTCGAGGCTTCAGGCAGGGTGGAGAGGGAAACGAATACGCTTTGCGTGGATTGTTTTTGGAAACACAAGCCGTGCCAAAGAGATCATTGACGGGAGAGCTTAAAGCAGGGGTGTGCCGTAGCTGGGTGGTAGGACATCTGCACTGCGCATAGAAAGTCTCCGGTTCAGTCCTCAGCATCTCCAGGTTACAAGGCTAGAAATGTCTCCTGCCTGAAACCTTGAAAGAGGTGCTGCCGGTCAGTGTAAGCAGTGCTGAGCTCAATGGATGAATAGCCTGTACGGTGGTACCTTGGTTCTCAAACTTAATCCGTTCCGGGAGTCCGTTTGACTCCTGAAACCATTCGAAAACCAAGGCACGGCTTCCGAAAAACATTCGCAAACCGGAACACTTCTGGGTTTGTGGCGTTATGGGAGCCAATTTGTTCAACAACTAAGCTGTTCGAGAACCAAGGTACCACTGTGTGGCAGGGGGCGGGGGTAAGAGCACTTGCTTAGTGTGCAAGTTCAATCCTTGCCATTCTCAGGTATGTCTGCTCAGTGCCTGAAACTCTAGAGCACAGCTTTCCGTACTTGTCAGACGTGCATCATTTTGCGACACAGCAATTCGGTTTTCCTAGCAAACTGGAGGTTAAACTAACCCCTTTCCAGCCCCGGGAGGAGCGCAGGGAGCGTTTGCATGACACGGCTACACGCTGCAGCCGACACAGTTTGGAAAGCTCACACAGAAGATGGATTAAGCCTGTTTTCTGATGCTCCCAGAGGGGAGGGTATAAACCAGCAGATTCAAATGGCAAGATAAGAGGCTGTCATTCGGAATATTTTTCTGTCACTTAGAGCTGTGTGGCAGTGGAAAGGACTACCTCGAACTCTCCTATAAACAGAGAGGTCGGGTGGCCACCTGTCAGGGATTCTTTAGCTGTGGTTCCCGCCTTGCAGGGGCTTGGGGGTCTCTTGCGGTCCCTACCAGTTCTCTGAGGCTATGAACCCAGTTCCCATAGCTGCTTGGCAGGAGGCCATGGTGAAACCAAAGCTGCCTTTGCGTCACAAGGTGGATTGTTCTCTCTCTGCTTGGTACGCAATGTGCAACTTGGGGCTTGCCAAAGGAGGGGAGGAAATCCAAACACTCGGGCAGCGTGATTGGATAGGGGCAAGCCTCCCCTTTCGCTTGGTCTGCTGATGGGAAGGCGGGTCCCTTATGCAAACAGAGCAGCTGCCTGTAACATGTGCAGAGCCTGTGTGAGAGCCCCTGCTGGGGAGGCTGTGGGGAGGGGAAAGGTTGCAGCTTTGGGGACATTTTGGTTTATAGGAAAGGCAAGTAAGAGGCACCGGGAGAGGAGCTTATAAAATCATGCATGCCATGGAGGAAGTGAATAGAGAAAAGCTTTTTCTCCCTCTTTAGAACCTGGACACACGTAATGAAGGTGAATCCTGGAATCGTAGAATTGTAGAGTTGGAAGGGACCCTGTGGGTCATCTAGTCCAACCCCCTGCAGTGCAGGAATCTTTCACCCTGTGTGGGCCTCGAACCCACAACCCTAAGGTTAAGAGTGTCATGCTCTACCAGCTGAGCTATCCCAGATTCAGGACTTCTTAATGCGCTGCATAGTTGAACTGTGGAACTCCCTGCCACAAGAGGCAGTGACGGCCACCAGCTTGTTGGCTTTAAGAGGATTGGACAAATTCAGGGAGGCTGAGACAATTGATGGCTACTGTGTGCTGCTGAAACAGTTTTTAAAATAGGGCATAGCATGGAGAGCGCATAGGGATAAGTTTTTCTCCCTCTGTCCTTCCCGTTCATCTCCACCTAAAATCCTTCCTGCTGGTCAGTATAGATCAGTGTTCTCCAAACTTTGGGATCCAGCTGTTTTTTGACTACAGCTCCCATCATCCCTAGCTAGCAAGACCAGTGGTCAGGGATGATGGGAATTGTAGTCCAAAACCAGCTGCGGGCCCAAGTTAGGGAAACACTGGTGTAAGCAATACTGAGATGGGCCAATGGTTTGTCACAGACTCACAGTATAAGGCTGCTTAGTGTCAGCTACTGGGGAATAAACCCAAGACGTTTTGTGTTCAGAGTTTATGCTCTTCCACTAAACTGCTCCATGTTACCTTACTAAAGTTTGCTCTAAAATCTGCCTCCCTTCCTCTTCTCCCACCCTCCGAAATTCCCTTCTGCTTAGATACAAGCTTATGAGCGCAGCCAGCCTCGCTAATCCTTGTCACAGGGGCAACCTTACAATAATGGAACAGGTCAGGTTTCTGCCGAGTGCTAGGGTTGCAAACTCCCTGTAAGGCAGGTTTCCATCCAGTGAACTTGAGTTCGCTGGTTCCTTTAACTCTTTCCTGCTGTTTCATAACTGCAGCCCCCTCCCACACTTCCTGCCATTCTGGAATTCATTCTGCGGAGCGGAAAAGCTGACTGCAAGCACATAAAATCCCAGCCACTTGGGAACTTTTGTGCTTGGGCAAGCAGGAGAAAAGTTAAATGGGGATGGGGAAGAGTTGTCATTTTGTTTGCAAAGCCTAGATGAGTGCATCCCTGACCATGCTTGATTTTAGTGGGCTGTATCCAGCATTCTCTGTCCACAAATTGCACTATGGGGCAGCAGCTGCACGGAAGAGGAGTTCAGTGCACAAACTGTGCAACAGCTGATTCTTATTGTGCAATCCTATAGCCTGGGCTATACAATCGCAAGTCAAATGTAGCAGCTCTGAGCATGCTAGATTTGCATGTTGCTGATGACCTCGGTTAGGCACTTGTGGCTTTCATGGACAGCAGCATGCTGGCTGCTCCCACGCCAAGCCCGGAGTGTGTAAAGCCTGCCTGCACCCTCCCATACGTGGCTTGGCTGGACTTGCTATTTGCAGTGACTCATCAGTCGCCTGGGGCGAGTCTGCAAAGAACAGGGGCGAGCACACTTCAGGCTTGCAGGGTTTATTGCGTTATTGTTTCATTAGAACCACAAGGTCCTCCAAGCACAAGTGGATGAGAAGTGATCCACACCAGAGCTGTGCACCCAGTCCCATCGTGCAAAAATCCACTCCTGGATTTCCCACCAAGCTTTATTAATCTCAGCAGGCTAACTTAGAAAAGGGGTGAAGGAAGCCACCTTCTAATGTTCAGTAGGCTTTCGCCAGCCTAGCTCCCTCTGGATGCTGTCAGACTACAGTTCCCATCATCCCTGACCATCAGCCGTGCTGGCTGGGGCTGATGGGAACTGGAGTCCAACATCTGGAAGAGGCAGCAGTTTAGCTGGGGGAAGGGAGGCTGCGTTTAAACAACTGGGTGTCAGAAATCTGCTGCAAGCCACGCAGAGACCTACCGGTTGCCTGCCTCTGGTTGCTGAAATAAGGCTTGTGTTCATCTTTTCGTTTCAGCTCCTGTACCTCTGCATTTGAGAAGGAGACTGGCAGTAAGTAAAGCAGCTTTCATGTTTCTAGTCCTTCGTGTTTGCCTTCTCTTCCTCCCCCTGCCAAGTGTCTTGATTCTCCAGATCACTCCCCACTCCTCTCCCCCCCCCCCCCGGGGTCTTCATTAATGTGAAATTTTCCCATAGCAGAAAAATGGAGCAACCTTGTTTTTGTATTTCCTTTGGGGTAGAGCAGGCATCCTCTAACTCGGCCCTCCAGCTGTTTTGGGACTACAACTCCCATCATCCCTAGCTAACATGACCAGTGGTCAGGGATGATGGGAATTGTAGTCTCAAAACATCTGGAGGAATCTCCTTTTAATTGGGTGTCCCGAAGGCCAACGAAAACCACACAGCCATTTTATTTACTCAAATAAAGGTCTATCTAGCTAGGTAGTATCTGCACTGATTGGCAGAGGCAGCCCCAGGACTTTTTGGCAAGTGGAGCAGCTATGCCGCCACCAAACGAAGGACTTTCATCTATTTAAAACAACTAACAACCCTAAGACTAAGGGGGGTGCTAAGAACATATACCTCAAGTGTCAAAGAGGCCTAGAAAGGAACTGGTGCAGCTGTTTTCATACAGGGAGTTCTATGAGATCCAAATGGAACCCCGGCCTGTAATCCAGCGGCTGCATTTTGGACCAGCTGAAGTTTCCAAGTTCAAGGGCAGCCCCACGTAGAGCGCATTGCAGTAGTCTACTTGCTCTCACTTCCTGTCCTGTCTCTCTCTCCACCCCCCACCCCAGAGCAAAGAGAAAAGCGCTACAGTGTGCACCGCAAGTTTGGGGACCGGAGGGACGGGGTCATCAGCGCCCGCACCTACTTCTACGCGGATGAAGCCAAATGCGACCGGCACATGGACACCTTCCTGCGATGCATCGAGGCCTCTGGTAGGCAGGATAAGTCCCTCTGGGAAACAATAACATAATAAATCCTGCACTGACTCTTGCAGTAACCTAGTTGGACAGCCAACGGGTTGCTTGGGGAGATGAGCCAGAAATCAAACTTGCTATATTATGGTGTAAACTCCACTTCATATCAGCCATGCTTGGGTACCCTTTTGAGAGCCAAGGAGTTGATTTTTTTTCACGTCACAGTAAACCGTGGTTTGCTCTTCCCAGTGAACGAGCAGTGTGTAAGCACACATAGCTGAATCACACCTACCTTGCACCAGGAGCACCAAACAAGCCCTGGTTTAGGATGTAGTGATCAGATGGGATTACTATGAGGAATGATAAAATATGCATCAAGCCATTGTGTCCGCGATGAAAGCATTGCATTGACTGGGTTCGATTCATTGACAATAGTTTCTGATCAAATCCCACAAGCTTCTGCATCTCTGATTTCTCTACACCTGACTGGCACATATAAGCATTCTGAAACACAGGCCAGTTGCTTCATCAGGCATCCTCAGAACATAAAGATAGTAGGTTACTTTGATGTACCGTATTTTTCGCTCTATAACACGCACCTGACCATAACACGCACATCGTTTTTAGAGGAGGAAAACAAGGGAAAAAACATTCTGAATGAAACTGGATGTATCATTTTTGTGCTTCATGCTGTGGCCACAGACATGTGATCTGATGGTGAATTTGGGGTGACCCAATGCAAAAATCCTGAGAATCCCTGTGGATCCATGCTTTGTAACCACGTTTTTGCACCATTGCAGCCCCAGGCAACAGTGGGTGCGTGATTTTGGGGGGGCAGGCTGTAGCCATGGACATGCTATGTGATCTGATGGTGAATTTGGGGTGACCCAATGCAAAGATCCTGAGGATCCATGTGGATCCATGCTTTTTAACCACATTTTTGCACCATTGCAGCCCCAGGCAACAGTGGGTGCGTGATTTTTGGGGGGCAGGTTGTAGCCATGGACATGCTATGTGCTCTGATGGTGAATTTGGGCTGACCCATTGCAAAGATCCTGAGGATCCATGCTTTGTAACCACATTTTAAGTTGGGAGGGAAGGAAAAACACAGAAGGGACAAGGAGCACGAGAGGGGTGTGCAGAGAAGCAGCTGGCTAAGAATGCAGGAGAGGGGTATAACGGGAGGGAGGAAAGGAAGGCAAAAGTTTCCCCCCACTCACTCACCCACCCAAGCCAGCCAGCTCGCGTGCGCTCTCTCTCTCTCTCCCTCTCCCTCTCCCTCTCCCTCCTGCCTGTTTTCACGGAGAGGAATTAGAATGAAGGACACTCTGCTTTCCCCTCTGCTTGCCTGGAGGGGAGGGGCTTTCCCTGCTCTTTGTTCCGTTTGAGCAAACACAGCAAGGAAACAGAGGTGGGTGGGCAGTAAGACCCTGAGGCAGAATGCAGGAAAGCAGCCGCTTCCTCTTTTCAGGTTTCCCTTCTCCGAGACGCGCAATTTGATTTTTACCTGATTTTTTTTTGCCTCCACTCGCGCCATTTGGCTCCAGGGACCACACATTCGCTCAATAACACGCACAGACATTTCCCCTTCCTTTTGAGGAGAAAAAATCTGCATGTTATAGAGGGAAAAATACGGTAGTTTGTTAATCTTAGGGCCAGGAAATAGTTTCACACGGAGGTGATAAAGATGCCTAATCTTTCCTTACCATCCTTTCTCTCCTGTTTATTGCTGTTTATGACCACCGTAGTTTCCTAAAAAGCATTCCTCCTTGCTTCCTCTTTTATTTATTCAGAACTACATATGCATGCTCAAGTAGGAAATAAGTTTCTTTGTAGTTAGAAGAATTTCTTCTGATCTGACTTTGTCCCACGTGGGGTTTTTGAAATGCTCAGAGGAAATCTGATTGGTTCTTACGAACACTGTGTAAAAAGTTCTTTTGTGAATAAAACGATCTGGGCCAGGGGGTGGAGAAGAGGGATTATTATTGGCACCCCTCCCAGAGTCTTGCTGGTCAAGCCTCGTGTGTATTCTGTTAATCAGAATCCAATCCTTCCTTTGCTTTGGGAACACCACATAGGAGGCATGCAAAAAACCCACCAGCTGATCCGCACAGATCAGCTGAGATGGGGTTGCCTGTGGTCGCTCCAGTTGCGGCTGCCATGGAGCCCCCAGAGGGTTGGCTAACGTTGAATGTGGCTCGCTGTCCACAAAACGGCTAGCCGCCTCTGCAGTAAACACAGCGTCTTCATAATTGTGATACACAAAGCAGCCCAATGTGATGTCATGGCTAAAAGCAGCCGATATGGACTACAGGACTCTGGATTTAATCTCTGCCTGGCCTGGCCTACCTCTTAAGGTTGTTGTGAGGACAAAATGGAGGCTACCACCCACAGGGTGCTGCCCGCGTCTTCATGGAGGAAGGGGCAGAGAGGGTGACCATGCTTTGCCTTTCTTTGGCAGGTGGCAGTTCAGAAGACGGCTTTTTCTGCCATTAAGTTGACTGCACTGGGGAGGCCTCAGTTCCTGGTAAGGAGAACGGACAAAATGTGCATGTGAAATTTTGCAGTTCTGATTTTTTCCCTGGAAAGGCCACGTTGCTGATGCCGGCACGTAACTAACACGCTCCTCTCTCTCTCTCCCTCTTCTGCTCCTTTTTCCAGCTGCAGTTCTCAGAGGTGCTGGTGAAATGGAGGCGGTTTTTCCACCAGCTGGCCGCCGAGCAGGGCAAGGTGGGTCTGGCTGCCCTGGAGACCAAGCTGGAGGTGGAGAAGCTGCAGGTGAGTCTTCGTGCTCTGGTCCCTGGTGGGATGGTTGGGGGGGGGCAGCAGGGGCTGATGGAGTTTCTTCCAGAAGACCCTGCCTCATTTCTCTGCGGTCAAAAAGGGGCTGAGATCAGGGGCAGCATTTGGGCTCCAAAATCCAACCTTCACTGCTCCTCCGGAAAGGTGCTAGGCCAGGCTTCCCCCAACCCTAGTGCCCTGCAGATGTCATTGGACTACAACTCCCATCAGCCCCCAGGCAGCACAGCCATTTTGGACTACAGCTCTCATCAGCCCCCAGCCGGTACTGTGCTGCTTCCATCAGCCCTGGCATCATGCAGCTATGTGAAGCTGGGGCTGGTGGGAGTTGTAGTCTAAGACATCTAGAGGCTCTCAGGTTGCAGACCTGTTCATGTTTGAACCTCTGATTTGTTCATTTATTAGGTCAGTTGGTTAGAGAGTGGTGCTGATAACGCCAAGGTTTCATGTTCGATTCCCCGTATGGGGCGGCCGTGTATTCCTGCATTGCAGGGGGCTGGACTAGATGATCCTCAGGGTTCCCTCCATCTCTACAATTCTGTGATTCTATTGGCTGGGTTGATCAGGAAGCCCATCACTGGAGGATCCTAGGGCCGAGCGTGCAAGTGCCACATGGCAAATAACTGGGCACCAAGCAAAATACAATAGACATTATTCATTTATTTTAAAAGCCAAAGCATATAAAACCAAAACGTTAAAAACGCTAAGAAAAAGCATGCTCTTTTATTATTTACACACACACACACACACACACACACACACTTTTCAGGTTTGTACACTTCACTGATTTTACAATCAACTTGACATTTCAAAACTTGACTTCCTTCCCCCTCTATCTGCTGCTCCTTAAATTTATTTTTAATATCTTCTGCCTATCCAAATTAACTTATTTTGCTCATTTATTCATCGTTAAATATATACTCTTATGAAACTGCAGGTTATTACAATAATCCTTCCAATGTTCTTATCTGTTTACAACTTATCCGTAAATATTCAACAAACCATTTCCATTCTTTTATAAAAAGTTTGTTACCTTGATTTCTTATTCTTCCGGTAAGCTTCGCCATTTCTATATATCCCATAAGTTTTTGTATCCATTCTTTGCTGGGATAAAGCATGCTCTCTTTGGCTTCAGACAGAAAGTGAACTTGAACCTGAAACAAGCTGAGGTCCCCTTACCCTAGAGTAGATGGATTATTGATGCCTTATTAGTTCCGGTAGCAGAATCATACCTCCACATGTAGAATCAGCATATCTCTGAAAACTTGATTGTGGGAGGGTGTGAGGAGTTTTTGGCCGTCATACGCCATCTGTAGTATTTTCCTGGAGGCGCCTGTTAGATAGAAACAAGAGCCTGAACTATAGTAAACCTTTGGGTGTGATTTGGCAGGGGGTTCATTCCTCTTCTGTAAAAGGAGCGGAGGGGGGAGGCAGGATAGACTATTTCTGGAATTCACCGCTGGCTTTCACATTCCTGTCATGGTGTGCAGAGCTGTGGTGAGTCTCTGATGAAAGAGGGAGCTCTTGTGGGGCTTAGGAGATCTGCAACAAAAACCCTTCCAGCTATCTTTATTCAAAGCCATCTTGGTTTTGAGAAGCTGTGTCTGTTCCCTGCTCGAAAGTCCACACCTACAAAGCCGCTCTTAGCACCATGTGTGAGGGAGAAGGTTTGAGGGGACGGTGAGGGGAGATAAATTTATGACACAGGACTTGGGAGATGCTTGAATTGTTTCCACCCCAGCTGGTTGCTCAGTCAACCCACTGAAATAATCTTCAGTGGGTATCTGAGTAAGGCTGACATCAGAAGTGGTGCCTTGTTTTCCTTTTTCCTCCTCCCTCCTCAATCCTTTTTCCTTTTGTGTTGTGCCTCTCCCCCCCCCCCATGTTCCTCTTTTTTTAAAACGATTGCAAGCCCGATCATGGATCTTGTCAAGCTATTCTGGAATCCCTTTCGGGGAGCGATAAACAGCATAACAATGTCTTAAATATTCATATCTAACCATTAAAATGGGTTCGTTTTGGTTTCTTGGCAGGAAGCACTGGCCAAGCTGGGGGTTGCCACTAAGGCGGAGAGTCAGCACTGGTTCACAGGCGAGAAGCTGGGCATGTCAGGGTAAGCCCCCTCGCTTCTGAGTCCAAGGAACAAGACTATGGGGGGTGGCTTTGTAGAGCAGTGGCGAGGACAACACACATGTTGGGGAATCTGCTGGGCTGTTTCTGGGGCAGTGGGGAATGGCTGGCACGTCTGGGGACATGAACACAAAAGGGTTAGAATGAATCTTGAAAATGTCAGCACAAGGGTAGGGAACTACCGTATTTTTCGTTCTATAAGACGCACCAGACCACAAGACGCACCTAGTTTTTGGAGGAGGAAAGCAAGAAAAAAAAATTCTGAATCTCGGAAGCCAGAACAACAAGAGGGATCACTGCGCAGCGAAAGCAGCGATCCCTCTTGCTGTTCTGGCTTCTGGGATAGCTGCGCAGCCTGCATTCGCTCCATGAGACGAACACACCTTTCCCCTTACAGCAGTACCTCTGGTTACATACGCTTCAGGTTACAGACTCCGCTAACCCAGAAATAGTGCTTTAGGTTAAGAACTTTGCTTCAGGATAAGAACAGAAATCAATCGGTAGGGCAGGGCGAGACTCCCTGCATGAAACCCTGGAGAGCTGCTGCCAGTCAGTGTTGACAATATTGAGCTGGATGGACCATGATGGAGAAACTATATTCTAA